TCTGAAAAGACTAATAAAATTAATAAGCCCCTAACAGTACTCATCAATAATCATCCCTTTGCAAGGTTCAAGCCTGGCTGTCAGAATATCTGGAAGCAGGAAGGCTCTGGAGGTATAAATAATGCCCTAGAGGTATGAAAGAAAAAGGAGAGTTGAGAATGAACTCATTACAGTGGGTTAAGCCAGTAGTTGCGAAGAACTTCAACTTATAGTTGTGTATCCCTTTAGCATATAATACAATATTTGACACATACATATGCAATTTATATATACCTTCTTTTAATACTTTCTGGTTTATATGGGCTAGTTTGTCCATCATTAAAACTATAAATTTATTGGAGAAGAAGCTATTCAATTGAGCTTTTCACTTAATTCCCTCAAGAAATTCCAACCTTCATGAAACTACAACTAAAAAAATCTCTGATTATTGACAAAGGAAAGCAACATGGAAACTTGCTATTCACCCAGGACCTTGGGAGGCCAGGAGGGGAATGGAGAACAGCAAGGAAGTGAGAGAGTGTTTGCAAATTACAAAAAAACACCATGCTTGTGCCAGACTCTGTTGTGAGTTTTAAAGTTATACTACCCACAAGGTAGCAGAATCCCAAGCCATGAAATTAATATAAAATCTGATCCAAAATGACTAAAATGTTAATCGCTCTAGCAGAAGTAAACTTAAAACTGTTCAAGTACTCTGCAGGACTCATAAGTCTTTCCACGTATATATGTGTGTGCGTGTGTATGTGTGTGTGTGTGTGAGTGTAAGATGTCACTAAAAATGAATGCACAATTAAAACTTATAAATACATTAACAATCCAGCAATTTCAATGACCAACTTATTCCACACTTAATAAATAACAGTGAAAATAGAAGAACAATCTGAGACACTATAAAATAAATCATTTTAAAATTATTAAAAGGAGAAAATTGAAATAAATTTTTAAAACTGGGGAAAGAAAGTATATAGAAAAAGTGCCAGTAGAATTTGCATTTTTAAAATATAAGCAAATATAAATTCTTAAATAAAAAATACAGTCACTTAAAGTAAACAGGGTAGAGAGAAGATTAAATATAGACAGGTTGATTTTAGTGAAGTGAAAGAGGTCTCATTAAAAAGCACTTTGGACCAGGCACAGCAGGTCATGCCTATAATCCCAACATTTTAGGAGGTCAAGGCAGGAGGATCACTTGAACCCAGGAGTTTCAGACCAGGCTGGGCAACATGGCGAGACTCCATCTCTACAAAAAATAAAAAATAAAAATAAAAAAAATTAGCTGGGAGTGGTGGTGCATGCCTATAGTCCCAGCTACTCAGGAGGCTGAGGTAGGAGGACTGCTTAAGCCCAGGAGGGCAAGGCTTAAGTGAGCCATATTCACACCACTGCACTCCAGTCTGGGTAACTGAGATCCTGTTTCAGAGTGAGAAAAAAAAAAGCACTCTGAATCCAATAAGGAAAAGAAAAACAGGGAAGGGCAATTGGCCACTGGCCATGTGGCACTCACACAAGACTTCAGGAGCAGTGTTAACTAGAGAAAGCATATCTGACAACATCAGTAGCTGGTGTGCAGGTCTCCTGCCGCCCACGATACCCTGGGGCGGAGCACAGAAATCTGGCAAAACTTGATGTCAGATATTTAAAAAGGGATCCTCAGGCTTGAGTCATGAAGCTTTTAAGTAAGGTGCATGATTAGAGAAGCACTGGCCCCTAGCCTGTCAGAGGCAGAAATACAATCACCAAGTGATGTGCAGAACCTTCAATGATGTGTCAGAACCCTGTCCCTTTTCTGCTAGCCTGATACTCATGGTTGAGGCAACTCCCCTGCCAGCCATGATCTGGAAGCTTTGTTCTAAGCCTTGCAGATATCACCATAAGATGGGATAATATGGTAGCAGAATATGCCACTTCCATGTGTATGGCTTGGATATCCACAGACTCATCTGTGGTATAATTAGGGGTCTCAGGTCCAAGCTTCATGGTTGACCAGGTTGGACTGCCCTACTTGGCCACAGCCAGTTTCAACAGAGCTTTGCAAGAGGCTTAGCCCTTTTCTGAGCAGACAGCCGAGAGGGGCTCAGACTTGGACAAATTAACCTCACTCTTCCAACGTGTAGTAAACAGTCATATGAGACTATCCAACAAACCTCAAATAAAAGTTATGTATAAGAAGAGAACAGAGAGATTAGGAGAGGCAGAGAAAATGGTCAAGAATTTTCCAAAACTGATGACTTGAGTCTTCAAATTGAAGGCATACATTGCATCCCAAGGCAGGTTAATAAAAACAAGACTGTAACTAGAGATTTCATAGTGAAACTATAGAATAGCAAAGACAAAAATAAATCTCATGAGCAACCAAAGAAAGATAACCAAGAAAGGATTCAGATCAGGCTAACAGTGAACTTCTGAGATGAGCAGTCTCCATAGATGCACCCTAACAATTCTCCCAATCCCTATGAGAAGACGCTGCTTCTTAATTCAAGAGTGCAGTTCCACTGAGTCTAGGCCAACCCTGTGAATGCTCTGATCAATAGAAGACCACAGAAGTGGCATCTGAGATGTGTGCATCTAGGCCTTCAGGAGACTGAAAAATTATACTTTTTTTATTGTGCAAGTCTTGTCCTAAGATGCCACCCCTCAAAACTCAGCCACCAGGCTAGACTCCCAAACCACACAGAACAGGCACCTGGATGAGAACTGAAGGACAACAATTAATAGATCCAAGGGAGATTCCAACCAAAGCCAGCATCAACTGCCGCTGAGTATGCCATCTTTCACGTTCCACCTAAGTTGAGTCCCTAAGTAGAACTGCAGCCCCAGGCAACGTCAAAAGGAAAAACTACTCAACTGATGCAAGACAACCTACAGAATCAGGAGAGATTATAAAATGATTGGTGTTTCAAGCCACTAAGTTTCAAGGTGGATTTTAAGCATCAATAGCTAATGAAAACATTTCTCAGTAGTAATAACGGATACCGGAAGACAATAAAAAAAGTATCTTTAAAGTGTTGATGGAAAATAATGCTCAACCTAGAATTCTAAAACCAACTAAATATCTTTCTAGGGTAAGAGCAAAATATATTTTTAGACATATAAATTGTGAAAGTTCATCACTTATATGCCTTCACAGAAAGAAATACCAAAGAACATGTGAATACAAGAAACAACAGAAAGCAATGAAATTTATAAATACGTTAGCAAATCTAAATACCTGTTAAGCACTGACTTGATTAAAAATAAGACAGAACTATAATATTAAATAGTATCTAATCTGGCAAACTAGCTATTATAATTTATATTTTGATGTTTTGAACTTCCACTTACGGTAACACTAGTATATAGAAACTGTCCTAAAGAAACACCAACATATATGAAATCATCTCCAAGATCTTGTACTCACTATCAGTTCTTCTCTTCTCCTTCCCCACTAACCCTCACACAGGAGGCTTCTATCTAACCACACCTGAGAAGGTCTCAACCCCAGCTTTCAAGGAATGAAGAAGGGACATTTATAAGAGGAAAATGAAAGAAGGCAACCAGGCAAGATAACTCTCCCGGTATTCACCCAGGTAGAGAATTTGCTGCTTGCTTCTTTTACTTTGACTTTTTATCTGCTTTGACATAATCAGAAATCATGCCATGGACATGGAATGTGAATGATAATTTTTAATAGTAAAGACCACGTGATGACCAAAAACATCTTTAAAAGACAAAGCAAGGAACTCCCCATAACCATATTGAACATTTTCTCCCCCATCTCATTCTCAAAATACAGATTTTCAATATCACTACTTAAAATTTTCAGAGCCCCCAAAACACCAAAAGCAATTGCAACAAAAGCAAAAATTGACAAATTGGATCAAATTAAACTAAAGAGCTTCTGCACAGCAAAAGAAACTATCATCAGAGTGAACAACCTACAGAATGGGAGAAAATATTTGCAAGCTATCCGTTTGACAAAGGTCTAATATCCAGAGTCTACAAGGAGCTTAAACAAATTTACAAGAAAAAAGCAAATGACCCCATTAAAAAGTGGGCAAAGGACATAAACAGACACTTCTGAAAAGAGGACATTCATGTACCCAGCAAATATATGGAAAAAAGCTCAACATCACTTATCATTAAAGAACTGCAAATCAAAAACAACACAATACCATCTCATGCCAGTCAGAATGGTGATTATTAAAAAGTCAGGAAACAACAGATGCTGGTGAGGTTGTAGAGAAAAAGGAGTGTTTTTACACTGTTGAGGGGAGTGCAAATTGGTTCAACTATTGTGGAAAACAGTGTGGTGATTCCCCAAAAAATCGCCATTTGAAAAAAATGCCATTTAACCCAGCAATCCCATTATTGGGTATATAGCCCCCCAAATAGAAATCATTCTATTATTTAAAAAAAAGCATGCATGCATATGTTCATTGCAGTGCTGTTCACAATAGCAAAGGCATGGAATCAACCTAAATGCCCATCAATGATAGAACGGATAAAGAAAATGTGGTACATATACACCATGGAATACTATGCAGCCATAAAAAAGGAACAAGATCATGATCTTTGCAGGGACATGGGTGAAGCTGGAAGGTATTATCCTCAGCAAACTAACACAAGAACAGAAAACCAAATACTGCATATTCTCACTTATAAGTGGGAGCCACATGATGAGAACACATAGACACGTGGGGGGAAATGGCACACAATGGGGCCTGTTCTGGGGGTAGGGGAAGGGAGAACATCAGGAAGAATAGCTAGTGGACACTGGGCTTAATACCTAAGTGATGAGATGATCTGTGCAACAAACCACTGTAGCACATGTTTACCTATGTAACAAACCTGCATAGCCTGCACATGTACCCCAGAACTTAACAACTGAAAAAAATATATATTTTTTGCAGCATCCCAAGTGTAAAGTAGAAATTTCAGAACTTCAATTTTCAATTAACAGAGAACTCAGTTGTATTAGAAAATGATTAACCATTTTTAAAAATCTATTAAGCATTACTTACTTTAACAGCAAATTTCTTAGATACCATGGCTTACTGGTTCCACAGTAACTACAGGCCTTTAAGAAAAAAAACAAAGTTATAATTAGGTATATTAAAATCTTTTTATTTGGATATTATACAGAAGAAAGACTAGCTGAATAATAAAATATCAATAGGTATTTATGAGATGAATGTTCACTTACAATTACCCTTAACCAAACTACTATATTAGTAACTTAAGCACTGCTTGCAAAGAAAAAGACAGGCCCTGCCAGGCATGGTGGCTTACACCTATAATCCCAGCACTTTGGGAGGCCAAAGTGGGAGGATCACTTGAGCTCAGGAGTTTGAGACCAGCTTGGACAACACAGCAAGACCTCATCTCTACAAAAAAA